TCGCAGGCTGCCTGCCCGCCCACCCGCTCCCGGCCTTCTCTCGCCTTCCTCCCGCACATGGGGGCTCCAACAATCGCAGGAAGAGTGATGGGAAAATAAAAGTCGAACACATCTCTAACTCCTTCCCCAAGACACCCGGGGCTGCCTGCCCCCAGAAGCCAAATGACCCCTCAGTGACAGGTTGAAGCTCTTGGTTAGTCCAAAAAGAAAAGAGAACAAAAATGCGGGGAAGGGCCTCCGCTCCCAGCCTGGCCAGCCCTTTCCCCCCGCCGGGAGCCCCCTCGCCGCCCATCCTCTTGGCTCTCCACGGCCGCTGGACGTGCTTAGGAGGACGCGTTAGAAAAGGAGCACTTTCCCCCGGGGTGCACATTGTCGTGCCCCGCTCGCTATCTGGAGGTTCACTCCTGGGAGACGTGCCGAGTTGGGGTAGCCCGAGTGAAAAGTTTTGGGGAGGAAAACGATCGTTACTATTTAAGATTTCAAATTAATGTGTTGGCAGGTCAAAAAGCAGGAGCGGTGGAGGGCGGCTTTGGAAGAAGGGGATGGCCTTGGTAGGTCCACAGAGCAGCCAGCACACATTGTTGGTATTTCGAAATAAAAGGGATTGGAAGAACATCCCGGTAGCGAAAAGAACAATTCCAAACTAGAGTAGAAACCCCCGGAGCCGGTGAGCGCCGGGGGCTGGAAAACTATCAGGAAAGAAGTGTCTGAAATAGTGGGAAGATCGGAAATCCACGGGGACCCGGGTTTACCAGAAGCTGAAGTCTACCGGGAGCTCCGCCCTGCGGGGAAAGGCCAGCGGTCCGCGACCTCTGAGGCCGAGGCCGCGGGTCAGTGAAACCCACGCAGAGACGGACAAGTGTCAGCCCCAGAAACTTCCTGGGTCCCGCGCCCCGACTTGGACCCACACGGGGTGCGGGACCCACGGCTCCTGCCCCCGCCCCCGCCGCCCCTGGAGATCGCCACCTCCCGGGAGCTCGAGTGGCGGGCAGAGGAGTCCGGCCGGGCCAGCCCGGGCACTCTTACCTTCCAAGGGAAAGCCCGTGCGCGGGTAGTTCTGCCCCGGAGCCGGTCGCATCATCCTGGGTACCGCGCCGGGAAGGGCCGCCATGCTCGCGCACGCCGGGGACGAATCCAGAGTCGGCAAAAATCGCCTCCCGTCCGCTCCCTTTCCCCGGCTGCGATCTTTCTTCCCTCCTTCTTCTTCTTCTTCTCCTTTTTTTTTAACCTCTTCCTCCTCCCTCCACGCACTCCCTACCCCACCCCCCCACCCCGGCTGCAGTCCGACGCGTCCAGAAGCTGGGGAGGGGGGTGAGGTGGGGGCGGAGGTGGGGGGAGGGAAGGTGGCGACGAGGAAGTTCAAACAAACAAACAGTCCAACCCCAAGTCCGCCTCGGCCGGCGGGGCTCGGCCACAAGTTGTGCGCGCGGATGCGCCGGGCAGAGCTGGGCCACCAGGCCCCGCGGCGCAGGGGACGCAGGGGACGGGACGCGGCCGGATCCCGGGCCCCGGCCTCGGGCTGCAGAGCCACTCGCTCCCGCACTCGGGGCCAAAGTTCCTGAGCCGGGAGGCTGCGGAGCGGATTTCTTTTCCTCTTTATTTATATATTTATGCCCTCGCTCCGGCTCCCTCCCTCCCGCCTCCCGCGCCTCCCTCCACCCCCTGCGCCCGGCTCCCTCAGGCCCGTCCCCGGTCCGACTGGAGGAGGGAGCTAGCGCCTCCTTGGGTCTCGGGAGTGAGGGGTTGGGGAAGAGGAGAGGAAAAGCGAGGGGGCGCGAGCGATCAGCTGGGTAAGTTGTGCTAAAGTGCTCAACTGGAGGAGG